TTTTTTTTTGCGGTATGCGGGCCTCTCACTGTTGTGGCCTCTCCCATTGCGGAGCACAGGTTCCGGACGCACAGGCTCAGCGGCCATGGCTCACGGGCCCAGCCGCTCCGCGGCATGTGGGATCTTCCCGGACCGGGGCACGAACCCGTGTCCCCTGCATCAGCAGGTGGACTCTCAACCACTGCGCCACCAGGGAAGCCCCATTGCTATGGCTTTTTTATAATCATATCTGGCAATTAATGGCCGGGATCAGGAATGCTAAATGTACAGCAATGCATGACTGTACATCCCCATTCAGAAACATGGCCCTTTCCAGGAAGAGAAACTAACTTCATAGCCATGGCCCTGGAGACAACATAGTGGAGTATAGTGGTAATGGCATCATATTTTTTAATCCCTCACATGTCTGTGATCTTATGGAAGAAGTTAAGCTCTAGAACAGCAGGTCTGTACTCTTTTGGGGTACTCCTTTGGGACCCCATTGAAAACCATGAGCATTTGCCTGTAAAATTACCTGTAAATGCAAAATTTTACCCTAGAGTCTGTTTATTCTTTTGTATATAATAGGAAATAACTATAATTACCTCTCAGGGTATTGGGGGATGCTAGCATCAGAAACAGGATATTTAAAACCACTTTGTAAATTATAAAGGTTGTTGCTATTATGACTTCTTTTTTTGAGAGTGACTCTCAGTACCGACTCTACAGAATAATTTGGCAGAAAAACTTAAGAGGCCTTTCTTTCACTCTGTGCTCACAACTGCCTATGACTCCCATCCAATAAGAAAAAGGTAATGGATTTGAACAGACACATCTCCAGAGAAAACGTACAAGTGGCAACAAGCACATGAAAAGATGCTCAACATCATCAGTCATTAGGGAAATGCAAATCGAAATCACAAATGAGATACTGCTAAGAGACTCTAAAGTAAAAGGCCTCAGACTCTTCATCTGTAAAATGGGTCTGTTAAATAGACCTTATAGTAGTATCTGGCCCTTTAATTTTGTACTTTGGACGGCTGCTCTAACCACACTTTGAATGTTGGTTTCGGGCTTACACCTGCCATAAGGGTTTATGCTACAAACCCTTAAAGATTTTTGTTATAGAAGAGCATCCTCATAGGGTATACATTTTATATCTGTTTGCAGTTGTGCTTTTTGAGCTGTCAGGCGAATAAACATAGGAACACGCGCCCAGACTTGTACATTATAAGTATTTCAAAAGTTGTTACCTCTGCACCTCTGAGCCTTTTGCACAAGGCCTCTTGACAAATCCTACATCCTCAGCAAACATTAGATGAATTGGGTGGCTTGCCTCATGCAAGTAACAATAACAAAAATACTTCAAAACAGGGTAGAGAGTTCTATGTTAATATCATTTATGAACAGGAGTTCCAGCAGGCATAGAATAGGAAAATTTCTCAGAACTGTTTTCTAAATATACTGTTTTCAGTGTATTAAAATCCATTTTTAAACTAGTAACCATAAAATTAGAGCTTTGCCCTAAGAGCTGAGAGTACAGATGTGTTGGAAAGGCTTATAGACTATTTTAAAATACACACACATACACTGCAACATATAAAACTATATTCACATTCACACGTACACACCATCACTCATGCAGTTAAGTGGAGATGATAGAACCCGGCACAAAAAAGATAGCAGCAGTGGATGCAACAGTATTAAGGATGGGGTAACAGGACTGCGGCTCCACTCCCTTCTGAAATCCTTCCCTACCAAGACTCTAGAAGGGAGGCTTTGCGTCCCTGCTACTTGCTTCAACACTATCATTTAGATACAAAGTACAAACAAGACAAATTTAGCTCCAAGTATATCAAACTGATTCACCACTTTATGAATTTTATAACCAAAGCACAGAAAACAACATTCCAGCTCAGCATCCAATAGATGCCCACGACCGGCACCAACCACCTCAGACAGTACCCAGGCGAACATGTGAACATGTGGAGCCCTCACAGCCACGTGGTGGCTTATAACAAACTCACACCAGCTTCCGTACAGTAAAATGTTTTTTAGGACTTCCATGGTGGCGCAGTAGTTAAGAATCCACCTGCCGATGCAGGGGACACGGGTTCAATCCCTGGTCTGGGAAGATCCCACATGCCGCAGAGCCACTAAGCCCGTGCGCCACAACTGCTGAAGCCTGCGCTCTAGAGCCCACAAGCCACAACTACTGAGCCCGCGTGCTGCAACTACTGAAGCCTGCGTGCCTAGAGCCCGTGCTCCGCAGCAAGAGAAGCCACCGCAATGAGGAGCCCACGCGCTGCGACGAAAAGTAGCCCCCCCTCACTGCAACTAGAGAAAATCCTGTGCGCAGCCACAAAGACCCAACACAGCCAAATAAATAATTAATTAAAAATAAAATATTTTTTAAATGAAGGGGAAAAAAACTGACCTTGCAGAGAAGTGCACTGCTCACCAGGCACAAACACGTGCACATACATAAGCACAGGTTAACACACAAGAGTGTGAGGCTGATACCTTCTAGGCCCTTCAGTGGGATTGACCGGTGTTTTCGACAACATGCTCCTTGAGGTCACAAGCACTGTGAAGTTGACCCTACGGCTGGCTGCCCCTCTTCCTCCTCAGGTGACAGGCAAGTGGCATGCATGGTGGCAGTTCTTTCACGACCTTGGCGCCAGCCAGGGAGCTGGTGCCTGTGTTTCTGAGCCCTGCTCCACAGCAGAAAGGAGGGCACGTGCTTGATAAAGCAAGAGCCCCAAACATAGGAGATTACGTTTACTTACATCCTTAAGAAGGTCCCTGCATCCAGAAAAGAGCCCCAAAGAACAAAGTATTTGAAGTTGAGGTCTGAGGCTCTACCTTCATTCAGAAAAGACTTCAAAGAAAGCAAAGGAAGCATTTGAATGGGGGCAGTGGGACAGTGACCCAATGGTAGACACCAAAACTGGCATTTCATCGGCATTCATAGCAAGTCTATCATGATACATCCATTAATTCCTTTAACTCTGGGCCTGGAGTGGGACACAAAAGCAAAGCCCTAATTACCTACCAAGACCGTTTTAATCTAGTAAAAGTTTAGCACTTGCGTTCTGGCTACAAAGTCAAAATTGTCCCATGCCGGACACTGAGGGATGAGTGTATTCACCAGTATAGAACGGAGTCCAACACAAGTGAATGCCCCACAAGCTGCAGCTGGGAACCTAATCAGTAATCCCTGAGTCATCTCATCTTTGCCTCTGGCTTGTCCATATCTTGAGGAAGGCCTAGAAGCAGCTGAGTGGATTACAGCTGACTCAATTCGGCATAATTGATATTTGCTTAAAGGGAAACCTGATCATCCTTACCACTGCTAACATCCCATTAAGACTAAAAGTTAATTAGGCTGTGTTCCATAAAGTCAATTGGAGGCATCTGTCTCAATAGCATTATTGTAATTATTCCTCATCAAAATGAATACCACCTCCTACTGCAGTGCGATGTCTTGTATAAACAAGAGCACAAACCTAACAACTCACATTCCATTCTCCACCTGAGTTATTTAAGCAGGTTTATGTTTATAAAGAACTGCAAATGGGAATTCATAGACATTAACACATTTTAAAATAAATACAAAGGCATGTTTAAGACATCTTGTTTTTTAGGTTTTCAAAGACTGGGAAAATAAAAGCAAACTACAAAGCGTGACAAATTTTAGATATCATAACGATACCAGTGAAAGTCAAAAAGAGAAGCACCTAGTAAAGTCAACCTATTACATACACTGTGCCTAAGAATGGAGACCACAAAATGCTGAGTGAACAAGCACAGGGCACGGTGCACGTGTGTCCCTGTACCCTCCACCTCCGCCCCACAGCTGTGCTTCCAACCACTCCTCAGAAGACTCTGGCAAGGTCACAGGCGCAGGAAGGATGCAGGCCACCAAGATACCCACTGCTGATGTTACTAATAACAAAGAAGAGAAGTTTAGGGTAGGCAGATCGGGGAGGGCGGGGCTAAAATAGGCAAAGGAGATGAAGAGCTATAAACCTACAGTAATAAAATAAAGAAGCCACGAGGATGTCATACACAACATTAGGAATATGGTCAATATTGTAATAACTCTGTATGGGGAAAGATGGTTACCAGACTTATCATGGTGAACATGTCAGAATGTATGCAAATGTCAAACCACTACATAGTACACCTAAAACTAACATAATATTGTATATCAACTACATTTCAATTTTTAAAAAAAAAGAAGAAAAAGATGGTTTCCTTGGCAAATTTTTCCTCAAGACCCATGACTTAAACAACAGCAAACTAATTCCCTTAAACAAGCCTTTTAAATATTATATTTAATAAAATAGTTAGAGAAACAAAACAAATGCATAAAAATCTGAAAGAAAGAGTGGTTTATCACATAGACCTACACATTATCTAGATATTGATCTCTAGTGACTAAACAATATCCGAATCAACACAGTCTTAAAATTATGCTTCAGGAGGAAAACTAAACTGTGATCATATTTTGTTACTAGCCTTCTGTTAGTATCATCAGTGGCCTAGTGAAATTATCACGAAGCAGGGAGTGAAGAGAGGAAGTCAGGAGGGACTGGGCCAGGGGCGTCCCAGAGATGTAGGCAACTCCCACAGAGCTGAACCCCGGATACGGACAGCTAGTGCTCTGAACAGTGATCCTCTAACGTGGCAACACAACAGAAGTGCCTGAAAAGCTTTAAATACCCCAAGGCCCAAGCAGTCCATCTCTCGCTCCATCTCTTCCTCTCCGTCTCTCTGTCTCTCCGTCTCTCCGTCTCTCCGTCTCCCTCTCCCTCTCCCTGGTCCTCAATGTGTATTCCATTTAAGCAGGAAGGGGTTCTGCAGACTCTGTAAGAGTCTATTTAATCCTATAGTTTCTACATACTAATAAACAAATACTTCCAAATAGGATGGTTTGGCCAGGGTTGGCAAATGTGCATCACGATCCTAGTTTTACTTATTCACTCTTTTTAACTTTTTATAAGGGCTAGACCCACCAGTAAAAACTGAGTGAATTCCGCATATGTCAGGTGTCTTTTTCTTTCTTTTCCAAAGTGTAGTTGCACAAATTCTGAATCCCAGTTAAATGGAATATGTTGATGAATTGTGGTCTGTCCAAAAACTTGCTTAACGTCCTCTGAAAAGAGAAAAGAAAGGTTGATTAAAACAAAGCAAATTGGGTTCTTCCTTATAAAACCTGTTATTAAATGGATATTGCTACTTTCTTTGTATAAAAAGTAACTCAACTTAAAAAACACAGATTATAAAATCATGGCAGAAATAGAACTGGGAGTCTCATGAAGTCAAAGTTAATAACGCCATCCAATAAAAGGAAAAAATCAAGAAGTCATACACACACAAAAAGCCCTAAAAGGCAGTTGCAAACCAAAGTAATAAGCTAAATCTCATATCGTCATCTGTTTTGTTTCAACAAATATTATTTTCTAGGCACAGGGGATATAATTCAATCTTTAGCGGCAGGAAACACACATATACATAAACACATAGAACACTACACAAGTCTTAAATATAGTCCTCTTTAACAAGCTATTAAAATGTTTTTGAGGATTTAGAAATCAGTTAGATATAAATCTTGAAGCATATATTCAACAGCACTAAGACTCTATTTAAGCTGTAAAAAGTTCCACTGTTCGTCAGGCCACACTTAAAGGTAACGGGAAGAACAGCCAACAGCCCCATCCTTTAACTTTCTCCTGCACACTCTGGCTTGACAGAAGTTCTCAAATGGTCCAAATAATCCCATTTTAAGATGGGCTACCAAATGTACTGTAGTATTGATTCTTCCCCTCTTTTTATCCTCTACCACAAAACTGTAAGAGGACTGACAGAGAACAGAAAACAACAATATGAAAAACCTTACTTTTCTAAAGCTTCACGTTTTTATTTACTAGTCTCTCCGCCTCCCAACATGAGTGTATGCTTGGAGGGTAAAGGGACACAAATTACATTAATGAATTTGTCCTGGCCTTCACATCTTTAAATATACCTACCAACCCTGCTCGCTTTTATGAGCAAACTGTGCCTGCTACCTTGTTTTTTTCCCTTTGCAACTATTTAAAAAAAGAGGTAAATTCTTTAATTCTCTAAAGGGTGCCCAAAACCTTGGCACGTGTTTCCACTGTTTCCCCCAAATTTCCTACTTTCATCCACCCTTACACTCACAAGTTTTTATTCCATGCTTTTAAAGTTTCCAGAAATTTTAAAAGTCTTGCCATGAAGAAACAGTAGTGCTGCCATCAGTATAAGATTGGGTGTGTATCTGCATGAAGAACGCAGTAAAAAATCAGAATTATGCCAGGCATAAATTTTATAAAAGATGGCAGAAAACCTCAGGCTGGCCCTGATAAGGACAATAAAATAAGAAGTTTTTAAGCATAACCCTCAATTTCTTTGAATTTATTCTGTCTTCTCCACTTTTAGGAAAAAAGAGAAAAAAAGAGAGAAAGGACATAAGAAAAATGAAGTGAATCAAGAATTGAGGATCTGAGTGGGGAGTGATGAATGAAATGAACTAAGTAGGAGGAGACTCAGCAAGTTTCTTTTTGGCTCTAAAACCTCTGAGAAGGAATTACCGAACTGAAAGTCAAATTACTTGGGTTTAAATTCTACTACTAATAGTAGCTAAAATTTCTTAGGCACTTACCATGTGCTAGGTATTATTCTAGTGGCTATATGTGATAGAATAGATATTAACCTAGATAATCTGTAGCTCCTTTCCCATTCTAAATTTCTATGCCTCTGTATGAAGCAGGCCCAGGATAGATTCAAGGAAGGCCCACAATCTTCTAATCAATCTTCTAATCAAGACCAATAAATGATCTAATGAGAAACGATGTTCAAATGACAAAGATGTGACCAAAAGAAAAAAAAAACACAATTTTTTACTCTATAAAAAATGTTTATATACTATAATAAAATTTTAGAGAAATATACAAACAAAAATGACTTGGTGGCCATTTTTCTGCCAAGCTGCTGAAATAAAGATTCCTCTCTGCCCAGCATTCTGGTAAAATAACCTTTCAATGCAATAATCATGGGATAGCTGTCAAAAACGAGGTCCTTCCTTTTCTTGACCTCTCCTTCAACATCCTATAGACAGTAACAGAAGGTGTTAACCCAATATTGGAGACATGGGTGGATGGAAGGTTAAGTAAAAGTCATAAAGAAATGATGACTCTGGAGAACAAAAGTCCAACACTGGAAATCTTGATGAAGTTAGTGGTAGAGCTGGAAAGACGGAAGTTCATGATGAAAGTTTGGTATGTTGTAATAGAAGACTTCAGAGGTGACAGGACATGAGATCTACGTGCTGTGTTGCGTTTGTATGTTGAAGCCATAGCCCCTAGGACTTTAAATATGACTATATTTTGGAGACAAGTTCTTCAAAGAGATAAGTTAAAATGAGGTCGTTGCAGGGGGGGTGGCCTAATGTCATATGACTGCCATGCTTATAAGAAAAGTAGATTACGATACGAACAGGCACAGAGGAAGACCATGTGAAGACACAAGGAGAAGACTGTCATTTACAAGCCAAGGAGAGAGGCCTCAAAAGACACCAATCCTGCCAACACCTTGATCTTGGACTTCTCGCTTCCGGAACTGTAAGAAAATTCATTTCTGTCGTTTAAGCCACCCACTCTGTGGCACTTTGTTATGGCAACCGCAGCAAACTATTACAATGAGCAACAGGAACTCCCACAGCAGTGACGAGGAAGTTATCCAAGAAGACCCTCCGTGTATCTCCTGCTACCACCGTAAGCAAGATGAGAGACATTTACAAAAGCAGGCATGTTATAAAAAGGGTGTGTCAGCTGGATATTTAAATCAATTAAATGTAGTAAAAATGTGTTTTAGGCTAAATATATGCAAATTACATGTATTAATACAAAGAAAAGTAACAGAAGGTATTAACCCAATATTGGCATATAAAGCTAAGGCATTTATTATCCATTTTAATATTTATATGGTATAAAACTATAAATATATATAATAAATTTAGGTTACTCAAAACTTAGTAAATGAATTTAAAATGTGACTGACTCTAACCAACAATCTTATTTTTCCTATAATTAACTATCATTCACTGCTTACCAGAGCTCTGACTTTAATTCAAAACTGTGAACTCTGAACCTTAAGTCTAGAGCTTTCTCCACTATTCCATGAGAGCTTGTCTCTCTTATGCAAATGCCTGCCTGAAGTATTGAAATTTAGTCCCCCTGAAGTATAGAGCTATATGTGATCTCTAAAACATGTTTCAACTCTACAAACTGTCAATCCTACAGACCTGAACTACTGATGTGTTTTTAAAAATATATCTCTATATAGTATTGTATAGGTATGCAGATAGGTCTTTCTACATAGATTATTAGCACCTTCAGAACAAAGGCCATATTTTTAACATCTGCTTCTCCCCTTGTGCCTGCACAATGGTGGGCATAGAGCAACTATTCACTAAGTTGTGGTTGAACTTAAATGAGGAAGAAAAGGTTTACAATAGTGCAACAGGTTAAGGACAGTGGTATTAACCCTTTGAGGCACTACAGTTTCCACCCTACTGAAAAGCCATTTCAACAATCATTTCCTAAGATTTTAGTGAAGTGCAAAGAATTGTCAGTCTTCCTTATTAATGTCTCCAGCCCCAGGCCTAGGCTGATTCAAGTGAACTAAAGAACCTGCATTTTAATTAGCCTCCTGGGTTTTCCTAATTCAAGGGTCCAGAACCTCATTTTGAAAAACGTTGTTCTAAAGATTTATAGAAGGGTTTTTAAACTCCCCACTGAAACGGACAAAAAAATATGAAAGGAAGGAGGTAGGAAAGATTCTCCAGAAGACCTAATGTCATGCAGTAAGTGTACACACAGGCCACTTGTAGACCCAAGGGGACATGCAAGTTGTACAATCCAGTGACTGACATTCACTTCATGGCCTATGTGACCAGTGCTCCTTGGAGTTGGACAGTTTACAAACTACACAACCCTGAGAATGAGGTCCATTTTCAGTTCTCAGCTGTTCTAACACACTGGCCACTGTAAGAATGTCGGTCCTTAGTTAGCCAGCACAGCTGGGAGCACTGTATTAGGTCCTGCGGGAAGTAGGAGGGCAGGAGAAGACACGGTGCTGAATCCAAGTCTAATCCACAAGAAACAACTAAACAACACATCCAAACAGTATACTGGATTAAGTGCTAAACAGCAACAGTTCCTCTTGGCAAGGAAACACAAGTTTAAGGAAGGATGCATTTACAACAGTGGGAGAAAAAAAAGCTTTCTGGAGAAGGTAAAACTTGATCTGGGTCCTAAAGGCTGTGGAGGATTTATTCAGATGAACCTGTGAGGGAGTTTTTCAGTAAAGAGCAACAGCATGAAGAAGGGTTCATTTCTTTTGAAGTGAATTAAGGGTCCAATCAAAACATATTGGACCAAAGCCACTGAGACAGGACAGATCCTGGTCTAGGCACTTACAGATGTTGGCATCACCTGCCAGCAGCAAATATTATTTTCAAACCCTAAGGACTTGATGCTACATTTGTGGTGAAGAAAAGGTTGCTACGGGAAGAACAGCTGGTCATGGAATTCTGCAGAAAAATAAGACCTGGAGTTTTTTACCACTTGATACAATCTCTACAAAATTTATTTTTCACTCTCTTAACTTACCTAACAGAGGCTTGTATACTCAAATATCGTAAGAATACCAAGTCATTCTAACTGGACAAACCAAATGATATGAGCATTATTACTGATAAAGAGGAAAACTACCAATATTTCTATAGTCATTTTCAAGGCTAATCAACTCTTTTAAGAAATTAAAATATTAAATTTTGTCACTCTGGAAATCTCACATTTTTTTCTCTGAAAATATTTTATAGATTCTTAAGTCTGAATACTTCATCCTGCTACAAGAAGTCATTCGGGGGCACTGATTTTCTGAAATGCTTGGCCTCAACATTTTCCTGTACATTCATGAAAACAAACATCTCTAAGCCCAATAGTCACAATGGGTTCTGGAATTTCCCCCCTCACTTTGGAAGACACTGTAATATCATCTCAGGTTAATATTCTCTTCTCCTTTTAGAAGGCTCAAATAGCTTTCTCACTTAACATTTGATTGTTTTAAGAT